GTGGGATCCTCTGCAGCTTCTTCATGAGTTTTCTGTTTTGTTTTTTCAAAACATACTAGATTGTCTTAATGAGTTTTATGAATTTTTTCCTTGTTTTTTTTTTGAGACAGGGTTTCTCTGTGTAATAGCCCTGGCTGTCCTGGAATTCATTTTGTAGACCAGCCTGGCCTTGAACTCACTGAGATCCGCCTCCCTCTGCCTCCCAAGTGCTGGGATTAAAGGTGTGCGCCACCACCGCCGCCTGGCTAGTTTTGTGAATATTTATAAGGCGGCAGGTGTCCCTTTTCCCTCCTAAATCAAGGTAGACCAGATCTCCTTTTTAGAGTATTTCTTCTGAACCTCTAGGAAAGCCAAGAGCAGTCAAAACCATGATGCAAGTGATACATGATGTCAGGGTGTCTAAGGATGAAATGAGTGCGTGTGAGTGGCAGTTGGAGAAGCATCCTGGATCCTTCGTTTCTGGCTTAGCCTGAAGAACTGCAGACAAAGATGTTTGCCATTCTGGTCCCTAGGAGACAGGAGAGAAGCCCTGGTCCTCACCCCTGCTTCCCTGCCCCATCACCCTCACCCAGTGGTGCTTTAGACCAACATGGTGGAGTGAGCCAGTCCGAAAGTGGGTGCAGAAAACTGTCTTTGCCCTCACACAAGACCTGAGGGCAGATGTCACCTGGGGGCTGTCTGTCTGTCTGTCCAGCTCGCTCTTTCCGTCTAGAGCTTGGTACATTGTGCTGAACTATTTGCCTATGCCGTTCTTCTTTCTCCAAGGAGATATAAAAGGCTTAAAATAGGGGCTGCTATACAACAGGGAGAAAAATAAAAAGCAACAGAAGGAGATGGGCAGATTAACTCTCAAGGCTGAATCAATAGCCAGGCTTTAGCCAGTAAACATGGCCTCTCCTTCCAGGTAGTCAAAAGTTAGAGCTCAGAGGACCTGCTGAGGAAGACAGGGGCCCGACCACTGTCAGCAGCAGCTGGAGATGCAGCTCCTGGCTGTCGGCAGCTCCTGGCTGCCAGCTATACCAGTCCAAGGAGAAGCCCAGACCACAGTTTCAGGATGCGGCGGTATTAAGTAAAGGTGGAGTTTACTAAGAGGAGCCTTCCTGTAGAGCAAGCATGGGTGGAGGGGCAGATGGAGACGGTTTAAGAACAGTTGTCCATACTCAGGGAGGTGCAGGTGCTCCCAGTCGAGTCTCACTTAAGTGGGTTTTCAACTTCTTTTGAGAAAGAATCTCCTGTGGCTGTGGAATGCCTCGGATGCCTTATCTTTGTCCCTGCTTCCCAAGCCCTGGGAGGACAGGTGGTGAGCCAACATACCTGGCTCTGGAAGAGGCTTTCTGACCATCCCTCTTTAGAGGAGCTAAAGGCCACCTAGCACTTCATCTTGAGATATGTGAGAGTTGAAGACCCATTGTCTTGGCTCTTTAGGGGTCCAGCTGAGTTAGAGAGCCCTATTTTAATTCACAATTCCAGTGTATCTGTTGCCCTGTGAATGGCTGTGCTGTGTGTAAGGATGGAGAGGAAGATACTGTCTATGCTGTCTGCTAGGTCTCTTCAAGCAGAGTCAGACATGCCTACAAAAGACAAGGCATCACTGGAGCCTGTCTGGTGTGCTTTCTATTGCTGCCACCATGGCCAAAAGCTGTCACCATGACCAAAGGCTGTCCCCATGACCAAAGGAAGAAAAGGCTAATTCTAATCTTATACCCACCTCAGGTGTTCTCAGGAGCCATCCACCTTGTTTTTGAGACATGGTCTCTTACAGGGCTGGGGCTCAGCTAGTAGGCTAGACAAGCTGGCCCAGAAATATGTCACACCACCATACCAGCTGTGTATGTGTGTGTGTGTGTGTGTGTGTGTGTTTTTCTAAGACAGGGTTTCTCTGTGTAGCCCTGACTGTCCTGGAACTCACTTTGTAGACGAGACTGGCCTCGAACTCATAGAGACCCACCTGCCTCTGCCTCCCAACTGCTGTGACTTAAGGCAGGCACTGTCACTGCCCAGCTACCTTATGCATTTTTTAATTGTATTATTTTATGTGTACAAATGTTTGCCTGCATGTATGTCTGAGCACACGATCCTGATACACACAGAGTCTGAAACAGGGTGTCAGATCCCTGGAACTGAGTTACAGACTTCTGGGTTGCCATGGGGGTGCTGGGAATCAAACCCAGCGGTTAAGTACACAAACACGGAGTCATCTCTGCAGCCCCCAGGTTTTTAAGTTGGGTCTGGGCCTTGAACTCAGGTCTTCATAGATACAAGGCGAGGACTGAGCTAGCTCCCCAACCCCTGAACAGTGAGTCTGTTAGCCAAAAGGAAGATCTGAGAGGTGCATACCCCTCTCTGTTACATTTTAAACAGGGGCTCTGGCAGGTGAGAGGGGCAGGAACATGATGGTTTCCATTTGAGTCACTGAATTTGCAACAGGGAGAGATGTGGGCTGCCTTCCCAAAGCTTTGCTCGGGCAATCAAACAGGGCTTAAAGAGTGGAAGATGTTTGATGTTGGACAAATCTTCCCAGCTGGAGGCTGCACTAGGTTTGGCTAGAACAGGAATCTTGACACAGATGAAACATAGATACTTTGGAGGTTCTGATGTGACCCCACTTGCAATGGAAACCTTCCCTCTGTTGAGTACTTCGTACACCAAAATGTCCCTCTGAGCTGTCGGTGATGGTTCCCAGGGGAGGCAGGGGGTCAGCTTTGATGACTGGTGAGGAATGTGGTATCTTGCTTTGAGGTCACTCTCTAAATCTCTTTCAAAAGCTTTATCATTCTCAGCCAGGAGGTGGTGGCGCACGCCTTTAATCCCAGCACTCAGGAGGCAGAGGTAGGAGGATCTCTGAGTTCGAGGCCAGCCTGGGATACAGACTGAGTTCCAGCAAAGGCTCCAAAGCTACATAGAGAAACCTTGTCTTGAAAAAAGAAAAAAAAAAAAAAGAAAGTTTTATTGTTCTCATCCTTAGTGTGTGTGGTGTGCATGTGTGAGTGCAGACAGACACACGCCATGGGAGGGGGTTGGAGGACATCACGGTGGAGTTGACTCTTTCCTTCCACCTCCTGTGGGATCTGGGGGTGGATCTCAGGTTGTCAGGCTTGCACAGGCCCCGTCTACACCAGCCCAACCTCTGGAGTCTGTCACCTGAGCATAAAGGTTACCTCAGAGATCCTTTATTCTGTATGCCAGTCATGAACTTCAAGCATATGGCGATACTTCAGCCCCTCCCACCTTACAATGAATCTACTTTCATTACTAGAAATGCCGTAGCCATTTCTAAGAGGCAACAGAAACTGTTCTGTGGGTTTCGGTGTTAACCTCATCCATTGCCAGGTGGTGTAATATTCCAACCTTCAGCATTAGTGTGGCACCCTAAATGAAACATGTTCCCACCTTTTGATGGAACCCAGGGCCTTGTGCATACTACACAAGCACCCTAACACCCTGCTCCCCCGCCCCCGCCCTCCTCCACTCCCACCCCATGCTTCTATTTTCTAAAACCAGGTGTGTTGCTGTCATTGGAAACCTGATTCCAGTCCGAGGACGCCATTACTGGGAGGTGGAGGTAGAGGAGCGTTTGGACTACACCATCGGTGTGGCCTGTGAAGACGTCCCGAAACAGGAAGACCTGGGAGCAAACTGCTTGTCCTGGTGCATGAGGCACACATTTGCCTCCACAAGGTAAAGCCAGTCTGCACACCCAAAGTGAAGGTTTAAAAGACGCAAGTAAGAGGTTTCCTGATAATCAAGGTGCACGTGTTCACTTAGAAAAGTCACAGGTGTTCCAAGAGTTGTCACCACCCACTTCTGAAAGAGAAAGAGCAGCTGAAGCTCATGCTGTGCTCTTCAGGTACCAACAGTGTCCTATACAGTTGTTGTTTTTTTTGTTTTGTTTTGTTTTTTGTTTTGTTTTTCCCGTTGAGTCAGAGTCTCACTGTGTAGTCCTAACTAGCCTGGAACGTACTCTGTAGACCAGTCTGGCCTTGAACTCAGAGATCCACTTGTTTCTGCCTCCCAAGGGTGGAATTAAAGGCGTGCTCCACCAGGCCTGGCCTGTACTGTCCTGTATTTCTACAGTGTGATCAAAGGCCACCCTTACAGTGGCTGGATATTCCATCCAGTACGGATGATCAGAGCTTTGCTTCCAACCCAGGCAGTTTGGCTCCACAAATGCAGTTCTTAACCACTGGCTGTTTCTTCATTTATGCTCAGCTCCTGTATTCCAAGTGTACAGCTGCTGTAGAAGCCTAATTCCATCTTAGGTCAGTGTGGCTAATAGGTCCACTGTGTAGAACAGCTCTGCATGGAATGGTTCCATGTGGATGGAGGAAAAAAGTCCCAGAGTCCCGGCCAATGCACCAAATGTTTGGACTTATAAGGCCATGGCAACCACCTTCCTTTACTTGAAAACTTGCAAAACAAAGCACACATGCATGCCCCCCAAGTCCCAACTAAGCACCTCTTATAAGATGCAGCCTCTGGCCAGACAGTGGTGGTGCTATGCCTTTAATCCTAGCACTCAGGAGGCAGAGGCAGGTGGATCTCTGAGTTCGAGGCCAGCCTGGTCTACAGAGTGAGTTCCAGGACAGCCAGGAACCCAAAGAGGCAGGAGATGCAGCCTCTGACACTTTTTGGCTTGATGAAGTCTGGCCATGACCAGTGTATCATGGTCTTAGAATGTCATTGGTCATGTCCAAGCATAGAGAGAACAGAACTTTTCCTGGAGAGATTTGGCTTAGACTGGACTCTGCTAACCCTCCGAACCACTTTGGGGATGAAAGAATTGCTCTGCATACACTTAACCTGAACCAAGAATAAAGCTCAAAGGCTTCTTTAGTTTGGAAAGAACAAGGGTTAGAGCCAGAGAGAGAAGATAAAGGAAGCATGGGAGTTGGGGTGGGGAGGGAGAAGGAGCCAGTGGAGGATGGGAACAAGGCCTCCACTAGACCCACAGTTTTGGTTCATGCTCTTGAGTCCCTTGGTAGAGAGAAGGAAGGGACTCATTTGCTCTCCAGTAGCTGCTTAGTTTCAAGGAGTGTGAAGGGGAACAGAGATGGAGACTAGCTGGCTCGCTGCCATAAGTGTGGATCTAGGGAGTCCGAACCGACGTTCTGGACAACATGGTTCTTCAGATGTCTATGTCCTGCGGCTCGTTTTGATTTGGGCCACTTTCCAAAGCACACAGGTTATATAATAAAAGGGTACAGGTAGTGCTCAGCCCTCACCTGTGACAGCCGGGTGCCCGCAGCGTCCTGCTCAGTTGCAAGTTTAAGAAGTGGGTGTCATGGAGTCCTGGTTCAGTTCATAGAGAGAGCCTGTTTCTCATGAGGGCCCACAGAGCTCCCCGTTTCAAATGTCTTTACTCCAAATGAGTCACACACTGGCTTCAAAGTTCTTCTTTCTGTACAATTCTGATGCAGTGGAAGTCCATGGTTCTGTAGAAAATCTTTTTTTAGGTGCAGAATTCGTTCAAGAAAGTCTGAAACAGCTTTGGGGCGAACGTTAGAGAAAGCAGTTTGGAAATGTCATGTTACTTGGTAGTCGGGGATTACAAGAAAGGGGCGAAATCACAGCAGGAGTATAACTCAAGTCAGTACTAAACACTCTGCAAACAGCTCACTGCAGTTTCCAAAGCTCTGCTGTATTGACATTGCACTTTCAGGCACCGGTATGAATTTCTGCACAACAGGACAACTCCCGACATAAGAATCACAGTTGCTCCGAAGAAGATCGGCATCCTGCTAGACTATGAAAACTCCAAGCTGTCCTTTTTCAACGTGGACATTGCTCAGCACCTGTACACATTCAGCTGTCAGCTGCACCAATTCGTGCATCCCTGTTTTTCTTTGGAGAAGGCTGGACGCCTAAAGATCTGCAATGGCATCTCAATGCCAAAGCATGTCGCTTTTTTTTAGGCCTTCTGATGGTGTTTCAGGTCTTCCTGTCCTCTTCCCTGGGTCACCCTGACCTTGCTGGCTGACCTCGGTATTCAAGTTTCCTGCGGCCAGCACAAGCTCAAGTTCACGGTAGTGTCTGGTAGATGGTGTACTGAGCCCATTTCATCTGATGTGTACTCATCCAGTGTACGGCTCCCTGCGTGGTGCCGGGGAGCCGTTACCAGACCAGGCTGTCGGATGAGGGGTCAGACTCTGAATTCAAAGGACTCTTGTGGGGTCAAACCACACTTGTCTGTTTGTGGATATGTAAAGTGTTTTGAGTCTCCTAGCCTATAGATCTAGGGATAGGGTCAGGAGGTCATGATGGCTTCAGCAGGCCCTGCACATTGTGACATTACACTATTTACTAAGGACAGACCCAAGAAGGCAAAAAAAACTCTGCAGAAATACCATTTTGTATTTTTCCTTGTACCAGGAAGTCAGGTACTCGTCTCAAGACCATGTGGTAGACTGAGTAAGAACGGCCCCCACAGGCTCATCTATCTGAATGCTCACTCATCAGAAGTAGCACTATTTGAGAAGGATTAGGATGATTAGGAAGTGTGGCCTTGTTGGTAACGTGTGTCACTGGGGGTAGGCCTTGAGGTTTCACAAGCCACGCCAGGCCCAGTCTGCCTGCCTGCCTGTGGATCAGGATGTACCTCTCAGCTACTGCTCCAGTGCCATGAGTGCCACCATGCTTCCCGCCGTGATGATAATGGACTAAGCCTCTGAAACTGTAAGCAAGCCCCCATTACCTTTTCTAAGAGTTGCCTTGGTCATGGCGTCTCTTCACAGCAACAGAATAGTGACTGAGATAGAAGTTGGTACCAGCGACTGGAGTCCTGCCATGACAGGCCTGACGATGCTGTTTGTTGGAGGGATATGGAAGAATTTGGGACTTTGAACTAAAAAAGCGGTTGGACATTTAAGTGGGGCTTAATGGGAGCATGGAAGACAGTGCTGAGGGTGATTTGAACTGTGGGGGCCCAGATCAAGAAGTCTGAGTGGGGATGAATATTAGTAAGTGGCCTGCAGACCACTCTTACACTGTTTTGGCAAAGACTGTGGCTGCTTTTTGTCTTTGCCCTAGAATTCTACCTGAAGCTAAATTGAAGTTCTGGATTAGGATTTAGCAGAGATTTCAAGACAGCCTGGCATTGAGCCTGTCATGTGGCTATTAATGATTGCTCTCATGCAGATTTATAATGAAAAGGAGTAAGAGCAAGGCAAAATAAAAAATGCAGTTTGAGGAGAAAAGGAGCACCGGGAAAGGTTTGTTCTAGAGCCACGCCCTGTCTTCAAGGAGACAAACGGTTTAGAGAAAAGCCTGATGCTAGTTGAAT